CAAGGGGTCACTAAACTTCAAAAATCCTCTAGTTAGTCACTCAACTTTGCCATTTGGGATCCCATCTATCACCGACTTCACTCCGTTAGTAAAATTTGACAATTTTGCCCACTTGTCTAACAGAAGAGTGACTTGTGCAAGTTGTCCACAAATTCATTGCCAATTAAGAAAGTTGTTATCGAAGTGGAAAGAAAATTTAAGTTGCAAAGAGGAAAAACACAGGACAATTGTTCATCAATTAAACACCCCAAACCCTTATTTTCCCCTCAATTTCGGATTCCTCATACCTTTCTTCCCATTGTCGGCAAGCAATTCCTCCAAACCAAAAATCGACACATCTAAATACTAAAGATCGTAGCTGGAAAATCGCGAGCCCAGAAACTTCAAAATAAAGAGACCCGTTAGTGGCTCCAAACCGAAATTTCGTGGCTGATTTTGCGCCTCATACCAAGTGCACCCCCTGCTTTAAAATTGCTGTGAACATTGAAAGAATTTTTAGGCCTGCGTAGGGATAAGAATTTTTATCTCTTAGGATTCTACATGTTGTTGCCATTGGAGTTTTTATTTTCCAGTTGTGAGTATTATATTTCAGTTGCTGGTTTGGACAATGTAAGAATAATGTAGTTAGTGGGGATGACGTAAGATTTATTTTCCTATTGCAGGCACAATAGAGTATTTCAATTGATGTAGTGAAGAAAATGTTAGGTGATGGAACATCCTAATGTTGTTGCCATTCTCAATGCTTCCAATTTCTTTGTGGGAAAATCTTCGAATCTTGTTAACGCTTGCAGCATAAAGATTTGTACTACATGATCATTCAGATTTCGGTGATACTAGCAGCATATAGAAATCAATAAGGGCACTCATTTGATTGAAATTGTGTTTCATCAGTCAACTTCTCAAAGAGAGATTCCCTGCATAGGTGGAACTTAATGAGATTATAATATGCTCTAGTTCTTGGTTCAATTAGAAACATATAATATGCTGTAGTTTTGGCTCAATTAGAAAAATATGATATGCTGTATTTTTGGTTTAATTAGAACAATATAATATGGAATGTTAACATCTTTCAAGTAGATCAATGGGATATTGTTATTATTATATTCTCCAATTGACCAAATTTCTTGACATTGAACAACCATAAACATAGCAAAGCATGATAATTTTCCAGTCAACACACAACACAAGATTTACCAGCAAATGCAGGTGCACAAAATGCCTATAAAATTCAAGTGCAATTACATTGCTCCAGATAAAATCATATCCTATCTTCTAAATAGTCGAAAAACCAAAATACTACAAAATAAAGTCTGACATTTATTAGAGAGATTTGGTTTCTTCTAAACAATCAGAAAAGCAAAATACTACAAAATAAACTTCGACATTTATCAGATAGATTTGGCTGCTTCTGAACAAAATACAAAACAAAATATATCCACTTTTTTATCCCCGCAGGTGCTTTTGCAGCTTCTAATCTCCAAGTCCCTCTTGGCTTCCATGAACTTATGGTGCCTTTTGTTATGTCCTTTTTCCCCCACAAACGGAACACGTCATGTACACAACACCTTTTTTCTTACTTGTGATTGTGAATGTATTTGTGATTGGGATTGTCCATCTTCATCGGGTTCTTTTCTTTTCTTTTTATGTTTTCTTCTTATGAAGCAACATACCAGGGAGAAGGCAAAACAGGAGATGTGCACATTTTAGGCCATAACTCCTAACTATTGATGGGATATATGACATTCTCGTACTTGCTCATGTAGGTCTCGACCTTGTACCAATTGGAGACATAGTCTTTTATCTCATGACCTATATCTAAAATGCAAGCAATGACATGTGGACATGGAATGCCAGAAATCAGCCATCCCCTACATGCACACGTTCTATTTTCCATGCCCACAACAACTGCTCCATACTAACACTCAACTTGATATTGGTTTAGCCCGTTCCATCTCAAGATACACTCATGGGCTGCATCACAGCATTTCCCCAACTTCTTTTGTATTTTGGGACATATGGGTTTTTGTAACTTCTAAACTTGTCCCTCTTCACCTGAATTCTGTGCATGAGTTTCATCTGAATGCCTACCAACATATCTATAAAAGATTTATCCCTTTTTCCAAAATGAAGTTCTTGAAGCATTCACAGAGGTTATTAATGAGCATTTCACACTTCGATTGATCTGAAAAATGAGACCTACTCCATTCGTTTGGTGACTTCTTCATCAACCATCCATGTGCCTCCTTCTTGGCACTTTCAATCTTAGCCATCCAATATTTAAATGATGCTAAGTGACTGGATTTTGCTCCATCGACAAATAGTCTTTCAATTCCTTACCCTTAAAGTCACTCCTGAAGAAATTCTGATGCATATGCCTAACACAAATATATGTTCAGCTTCTGAAAATAATTCAGACAACAACATCAAAAACCACCTCCACCAACTAGTGTTATTTCAATCGGGTAAATACAATCATTCGCATCTATGCCAACAACTGCTAGTAGTTGACCACCAAATTTCCCTTTTAGAAAACATCTGTCAACACTGACAAAGCGTCCACACATGCCTCTATACAGACATAAATACCCCTGAAAACATTATCTACTTGAGAGATAAGCATAGTTGAATATGGATTTGTTCTCCTCAATTCTGTAGCATAGCACCCTAACATCGCAAACTGTTCCTTCACTTTCCTCTACTAATGCTTTGGCATATTTTCTAGCATTCGAATCCACCCTCTTATGATGTGCACTCCTAAATCCTTTCTAACTATAGCTCTGATATTTTTTATCTTCCACTCAGGTTTGGATGTGAAGTTATCCAAATAGTAGTTGGCCAACCATTTATAGGTTAGGTACTTATTAGTACGTGCCTTACAGCAAGTGTGCCTGGGGTTGTACGTTTTGATCTGGACCATGTCTCAACCTTGTATCTTCGAAGCTCACAACTTCCATGGACAATCATCCTTGCAAACACAATGCCATCTATTTTTCTCGTTGCGTTTGAAAACTGGTTCAACTTGATTGAAGACCGCATAATCCCTCACCACAGATTTTAATTCCTCAAAATTCACAAACAATAACCCCATCTCAAGTTGAGGATTCCTCTTTACACTACCAACAAAATATTTTGGAAAATTGGGTCTACCACTATTCCCCTCCGAATCTGAACCACTTAAGAAGTTTAACTCCTCTGACGATGCATACAAAGAGCTATCTAATTCTTGGCGTTCTTCATGTTCCACAATATGCATACCTATTTCAATGCCTTCGGTCACATTACGAT